GCGCTACATCTGACTATTAAGTTTCGTACGGTCTCAAGATCGGTCTCTTTTCCGTTAATTCGTGACTCATACTCTAAAACCCTCGGAGGATCCTCTCACTAACTAAGAAGGAGGCTACTTTAAATGCTTCGTCATAACAATTTACGACCGTACATTCCAAATTCATCCGCGCGGGAACGTTACCATGCTGCTTTAGTCCTAGGCGCCAACCGTGTCACATTACTAAGTCGGTTTCCTACTAAATTCTCTTTTTTTTTTCTTATGCACGTGACAAAATGAAGAAGATACTAAGGAAAAAAGGAAATGAAACGAGGTGTTTGCAAGAAGGGACTCACCGCAGTTGTTAGCCACAGAGATCTGTTAGTAGCTTGAAGCTTGGAGATAAACCGCAAGATGTGTACCTTCTATCTGCAAAAACCGCCAATTCATCAAAAAAAAAACTATCGCTAAGATCTATTAGAGCGCTCTTCGAAAGGATAAAGAAAGAGAAGGAAATAAAGGTCGATGAAGCGAGAATGCACATTGGAAGCACCAAGGAAAGGTATCGTAATAGTACCGTTACGTATTGATGGAAAATCAAATGTTTCGAAACAACATTAGCATAGGGCTGAAGTTGGAATATTATGTAGGTGAGCCTTACACGACAGCGAAGATAATAATTATGTTATAGTTATTATGTTCTCAGAAATGCTATGGGCTAAGGACTTTATCTAGTTTAATAACGGTACAGCGGTTTTGCGAGACGCGGAGGAACGGTTGGCCATTCCGTTCACCGTGGATACAACAACCATAAAATCACAGAATAGTAGTGATCGCCCAGGTAAGGCCTCGACTGATTAGCAAAGGAGAGAAAAAACGAAACTAATAGGAAAGGAGTGAGTCCTAAAGCAAGGTGGACTCGCACTCGCTGCTACCAGCAAGTGCTGGGCCCTTGCTATGTAATTAGAGATTGTATATAAAGGTTTATTGAATGTAGAACGGAGCTGCGAGTAGAATGGAGGTGCGTACAGAGTAAGGAGCGAAGGTATCGGATACGTGTATATGCTATGGAGTAAGACGGTCTTCGGGCACTCGGGCAGTAGCTGCAGCTGCGGCTTCTCAGCGATCCTGCGCGTTCCCTCAATGACCATGCGCTGTTGCTCTTTCCACCGTCCTTGTTATCATCGTCGCTCATCTCGAGTCGGCAAGCCTAGAATTCACAGCATGTTGCTGCCAGCCTACTGTACTCTTTACTCCCTTCATAACAGTCAAACTCGGCCAACATTCGTTCCGCCTGCTCGACATTTGGTGTTATAAGCACGATGTCATCTGCAAAGCAGAGGTGATGTAGTTAGCGGCCGTCGACCTTCACTTCCAAGTCTTCCCATTCCTAATGACGCACGATCTTCTCGAGAGCGGCACTGAAAAGTTTGGGCGGAATGGTATCGCCCTGCCGGACACGTTGATAATGACTTCCTTGTAGAATGGTGAAATCCTGGCCGTGAAGTTGTCGCAGAGCTCACGGAGCATCCTCATATATTCAGTAGGAATACCATGGTTGCCCAGGGCTTCAATTACCACTTCTGTCTCAACGGTGTCGAAGGCATTTTTCGAATCGATGAACGTAAGACATAGCGACATTTTGTACTCTCGCGCTATTTCAATGAGTCTTGTAAGAGTGTGGATATGATCGGTTGTGCTGAACCCTCTCCGAAATCCTGCTTGCTCGCATGGTTGTCCTTCATCCAATATTCTGCCAATCCTGTTCGGGATGACACGAGTGAAAAGCCTGTAGATTACAGACAGCAGGTGGATAGGGCGATAATTGCCATTATCGTCAAGATCTCCCTTTTTTTTGAACAGCAGCACAGTCTCGCTAGTTTTCCACGACGTAGGCACCTTGCATTCCTGAGAGTTACTGTGTGAAGAGCCTAGCCAGAGTTCAGATGGTTAGTGCTGGAAGACTCTTCAGATGTTCTGGTTTGATCCTATCGGGATCGGGCGTCGTACAATTCTTCGTCGACTATTTCGGAAGGGAGATTCGAAGGAGGATATATTCGTACTGCCTAAGACGGTGGGTGAGTGGATTGGCAGTGGACCAATTGCACTCACCCACTCTCCACGCACGTATGCGTGAGTACACCTGCAGGAACAGAATGTACATTGACCAGCGCTGCAGAATCAGGGAGTCCTCTATTCCTTGATTCCACCTGCGTCTCTGGGGAAGTACTGGCGTCTTTTAGTCAGCGATTAATTCCCCTATCCGTCACTGGGGACGCCCAGAAATGGTTTGCACCTTCATCGGCGACTGACCTCCCCCCCCCCCCCCCCCCCCCCCCCCCCTCCCCCCTCCGNGTCATGGGGTGCGCTACGTAGCCTCGCTTCTTTAATTTCACTTCTCGCTGAAACGAGCCACAAATGCAAGAACCTGTCAGTGGAGCCCATAAAGGACATGAAGAATTAATCTAACCCTGAGGTAAAAATCTTTTGTTGTGAAGTAATTCTCAGAAGGCTACGGAATTTCTCTTCCGAGTTGGTTCTTTTATTATAGTGCGAGTTTCAGGGAGCGGTTTGTTTGATGCAATGCAAAGAAAAGTTGTGTGCAGACCGCAACAACCCTGAACATTAGCCTGATTTGAGCACAGAAGTGCGTTGTGCAAAATCTCTCTTGTGCAAAATCTTTGTTCACTCGCGTACACATATGAAGGTGTTCCTTCATTCACAGTGAGGGCTCTGCAAAAATACTTGGTGTGAGCCTCGGAAGGGAAAGCCAAGAAGTACGAGTAAGCGGGAAGCCTAAATCGAAAGAGGAGTTGTATGATCTTCTGGGACCAATAGCATAACAAGAAGAGTCAACTCAGTATGAAATCAGATCCCATCCTCTTTTTAGTTTTCCCACGGGTTGACCCATTTCCTAACACTTCTCGCTACTCTTAGTGATATATGTTTGTTGTGTTGTATTTGGGAGTGACGAGGTTACGCTACATGACGCTAGGCGGCAGATAGGCAAGTAAGTCGCCGACCAAGGTCACCGGTACGTGCACAGAGAAGCAAGTGAATTTGGTTGATGGACTCTCTGTTTCTGTCGTGCTGGGTATAAATGTGCTCCATTCCCTTGATCCCGAGAAAGCCCTAATACGGCAGCGTTGGGTAGGACCGCTGGGGAGAGGCTGCTGAACTTTTAGGGCCAAAACAGGCTATCAAGGAGTGAAAAGGTCTAGGATGGCGATCTCTACCTTCAACGCGCAGGCTTCTATCCAAAACATTATCAGAGATCTGGCAACGCAATCCAGGAAAATAAAGGGCAGCGTCACCGGATTGAGCGAGAAGAGAAGTCCGCCCACTTCACTTCGTTCTTGGGATTGGAAAAAAAAAACTATTTTTCGGAACATGCCCTAGTAAAAGCGGCGTTATAGGTGTCCTGTTCAATGCACAGTTGGCCATGAATATCGATTCGTACGAAAGCTTGACTCCCTAATCGATTGTCTGCGATCGAGAGAATGTGGTTGAACCCCAGCCAGCTCTAACAATCTTCATTGCCTACGCATCGACATCGGACTGCAAAGGAGTTGGAAAAACTCTACGGGGGAGGCGTCACGTCTTTCAAAGTCATCGTCGAGAATTTCAACGGCAGGTTAACAGCAGAAGGACGGCTGAAGAGCTTCTGTCGGGACTAATGGGACGAAATGGATGAGCAAGAAGAAAGACTGTCCAGGATTATCTTGTCGACCCGTAGCATCCATGATTATTTACAGTTCCAGAAGCCCAATGGACATGGGCGTCACTTGGTAGAGAGTTCCATAATGAAATACATCACATCATCTTCACACGAAAGTTTTTCCTGTCGCTATTGTTTGATGTTCCATGCGAGATCGGTTTATCGTTCCACAGAGAGCACACAGGTAGCCAAGGATTGTCTCTTCTCGAGGACTCGAGCTGATACGCCAGCGTGGAATCACGCTAGCCACAGACAATCATCAACAAATGGAAGGTGGCGAAGTTGAACAGAAAAGCGATAAAGAGGGTCCGAAAGAGAATAAGGAGCAGTTTAGCCAGTTATATCACGTCGATAAAGAATTCAAAATAACACAGCGGCATAATAGCAGGATGAAATTCTGATTGCAAAATTTGATATTTTCTTTTGCCATAGGTGGTTTCTGGCAGTAAGGCGTCTTCTTTCGATTCTTCCCTCAGCGATTCATCCTTTACAGGAACGTGATAACCGCAGAAGCGAAATATACGATGTGTTTACTCAGTAGTTTTTTTCTGTATTGCTCAGTCCTTTTGTCTAAAATATTACGTTACGTTTCCACTTGGTGGTAATATTATAGGTTGAATTCATCATCTTTGCCAAGAGCAGCCAGAGGAGCTATTTCTAGTACTAATTTTTTTTTTGCTGTCGTCTAATAAATTTTATAGAAGGCAAGGTCGGCGGTGTATAGTAGTCAGGTGGTAGAATATCATCTGAAAAGCTGAAGGCAGTTTTTCCGCCATGGCGCCTATTTCGAGACATCAGTCATCATTACCCCCAGCCCCTTAGGTTGCGTTGTCGCAGCTTGATGTAAAAGAATATGAAGTTTCTGGAATTGGCATCTAATTTCTTTTATTGATGAGGTGGCGACTTCTGTAATATGGTCTCCGTGCGACGTTTGCTGTACAGATCGTCGCATTTCTCTATTTACTGGAACTTCCAGAGGTCATTAGAGAAAGAGTGATGATGCGTGGAGGTAGAGGGTTCAAATTTGAGATAGTACTTTCTATTAAGGAACGGGATAGGTTTTGATGTGTGTTCAGTCTAAGCAGTGATATATAAATTACAGTACCGCGTAAAGAAGCCTAAACTCAAGCTAGAAGGACCTAAGCGATTGATTTCGTTTTTCCTTTTTTGTTTTGTTACTCGCTTCAAAACTAAATTTTTTTTTCTAAATTTGATTCTTCTAATTGGCTCCGCTCTTCAGAATTTAACTCGGTACTTTGGAGATTGGAATCTTTGTTTTGAATAGCTTCATTCTAAGGCGTACTTATATGTGGGGGGGGGGGGGGGGGCGATCGTTTGAAAATAAGAGGAAATAGCAATAGATGATTACCGACTTCACACGTAGGCGTTTCCTCTGTTGTGTGCTTTTAGTATCGCTGCGAAGCATACTTTGGCGGGTTGTCGACCTTTTATTTGCTAACCAAGCCAAATTATCGTTGTCTACACACATCATCGGTGCGGTATAGGTCGAAAAAGATGCGCTCACACTCGACTCCCTTTCAGAAATGTAGTAGCATATTGAATGCGTATGTCGGCTATAAAATGCCTTGCGGTGGCCTTCCGGTGAACAAGTCAGTGCTTTTGACCTCTCAGACGGGTCTGGTAGCAAATAGCCGACCACGGAGGAGTGGAAGTCTTGGTTGGACCAGGCGAATATTAATCCAGGATTCGAACCCGTGACGTGCGTGTGAGGTAGTGTGCCACTTACCACTACATCACCTCCGTCCCTTTGTGATTTTAAGATCAACAATAGCCGATAGAACTACGACGGTAATGAACGACTTTGCCCGGAGTAATGAGTACCGGTGCTCCATTTGTGAAAACTTCCACTTTGATGCATCGTTTTATAGTGTCCGCCCAATTCCGCGTGTACGTCATGAAAATATTATTGTCAGAAATGGTGCATCATTTTTTGCGGTAAGAGAAATGCTCTTTGTCATTTGTACACGTCTTTGCCATAAGAGCTCCGCATAAGCTGGGCGAATGATGATTTTTGTGAAAGATTAAGCTTCTTAATTCTGAAACTGAACTTTATAGTGTTCGGAAACATGAATAAGATATAAATACTTCCTAGAAGTTAGTAGGAAAGTAGGGAGCTTCGGACTTTGTCCGAGTTCAACTTTGGAAGTGGGGTAGCAAGAACTCGAGAAGATGCGGGTCCGGTTCTACACTCGCTAAGACAGTTGAACTTTCCTACTGCTTACGCTTCGCTTGAAGACATGAAAGGCTTAAAAGGCTTTCTTCGAGCCTAATCACAACATTCCGTCAGCATTGTTGACTTCGAATACAAAAGCTACTCACTAGGAGAGTTCCGTTTGTTTTCAGCGGAACAAAAACATATAACGACCCGCAACATCCATACAAGTAGCTCAAAGTATTTCTTTCTTTCATGCAGTCTTTCGAACAAGGAGTTATGAAAATGACTACGTGTTCCAAATATTTCGATCCAAAAGGTCTTCTATTGTGAAAAGTAATAAGGTTCCCGGTTATTCGTAGTTGGTGAATACTAGATAGTTTCGTCCCGTCTTGCACTCAGACTCACTAGAGTTTTATCAAGTTCGTGAAACAGAAGGCTACGGAGTCCTTCACAAACTAGAAGATCAGACCTGGTTAATGAGCAGATAGGTAGAAGTCACGTTCGTCCCTATTACCAACGGAAGCAGTAAAACGAAATGACAAAATTGGGCGTTAAGCTTTCTGTTCTTGCCCCTTAAAGCACCTGCGGCTTCCATTCATCTCGTAGGACGTCACAGTTTACATGCTCAAGAGAGTAATCTTTCTCTCGCTGCAGATTGTGCTTTATTCGAAGAGAGTTCTGAACCCTACCGAACCGGCGATAAGTTCATTTAGCGAGAAGTAGCGTGCACGAAATGCATTCATGGGCACAGATCAACTAGTGTCTTCTGAATTCGACGGAAATGTATGTGAAAGTTGGGTTTTAGCAAAGTACTATTTATACATGACCACAGCATCGAACAAGCATGTACGATGCCACTTTCTTTGGCTCGTCAGCATTCGCTCACGCAACCCGTCTCGACTTAACGGTAGCGAATTCCTGGACGAAGCCGAACTCAAACAGAAATGATCGGCAGTCGAGTCTCTTACGTCCTATCTCCAGATCATTTCCTTCCACCTCCTCGTTCTCGATTGTTTTACCCATTGTAGTTTCGATCCCAGCTTTCAGAAATTTAGATGCATATCGAAGAAAAGCAAAAACACACAGCTCAATAGACTTCAGGCCTCAATTGCTTCTGTTCACTTTTGCACGTTGCTAAATTAAAACTTCTCGAACGCGCAATTTCAGTCACTCACTCTAATACGATGAGAATGCTTTTTCCATTTTGAACAAAGGGGAAATTCGCTGCTGATTTTGTTGTTAAGCATGAACGCTGAGTGTATTAGAGGTCCTTTTTGTTTTTATGACTAGTCGTTTCATCTGAACCACTTCATGTATTTGAAAACAAGTCTTTTAGTGTTAGATTCTTGTGGAGACCACGACTCGTAACTATGGTGAATCAGATGTCTATGTGAATAGGTTATCAAGCATTATGATCAAAACTTCGCACTTCTCTTTAATGTGGTGAAGGGCTTTTCAATCTGTTGTTAATTTTTTTGACGATTTAATGGAAATTTGCGGTTTTTCGCTCGTTCTGTTGTATAGATCGTACATATTTTTCTCAGAATGGTGCTCGAAGGTGAGCCTAGGAGAGTTGGTCGATTTTGAGTATAATTCAAAACGAAATCCGAATGCTGCTGGAGTTGGTAGGCGAAATTCACGAAGATTTCAAGAAGTTGGAATCTGAAAATTGCTGAATTTCACTGCCATGAAAGCATGAACGCGTTGGAAAAATGGGGGGATGTTTGAAATTTTGAAGGGATAACTCAAACTATAGGTGTTCAAGTTCCCTTGTTCGTTCCTGTTGTATAACAATTAGTTTTACGATTGCGAAAAAGTTTAAGCAGTAAGGAAACTTCGAAAATTTCTGGTCACTCGACAATCAACAGGTCATCATGTGCAATTCCAAAAATGTGTTGTGCTGGTCTCAGAAGTATAAGTTCAGAGCTCGATTGCCCATGTCGGATTACGTGGAGAGCCACGGGATGTCCTCTGTGTTCCGCCATATGTTCGAGTACCAACTTGAGGAGTAAGTTTGATGTTTTCCCATGTGATCGTAATTTTCACCAGCACATTTATATGAAAGGAAGTTCAACTTTGACTGCTCCTGAACAGTTCCATACAGTCCTTTGTTCATGACCTTTTCTCTCAACAGAAACTAATGAAACTGAAACTTTTGATCATCTTCGATAACTGTCTGAACTATTCGGGGATCTTCAGTGAAGTGTTGATATCGAACTGATTCCGACCCTTATACATCCACCACAGAAGCCTACCTCTTGATACACATCGATCTTTGACTTTGATCTAGCTCAGCTTGCTGGATGGTATGATCCAGAAACACCGTTCTAACCCTTTGCTATGTGTTACTCCAGTCTTCCGGCTTCACGTGGTAAAGGAGCGGAAATATATTTGAAATGATATGCTTCGTTTCCCCAAAAAGGTTGACCTTCAACCTTGAGGTTTTCGTAGTCGAAAACAGCTCAACTCTCTTGTTTATTGAGGAATTTTTTCACGGTCATATGCGATGAAATATTGAGATAGTGTGATATAAAGTCCAAGGCTTGTAACGATGACAAGTTGATCTGGCAAGGCCCTTTGCTTATTCGAAATATCATTTGCGGCTCAGTCTTTCGAAGATAATTTTGCATGATCATTAAGAATTTGGGAAGTACTCGTCCAGAATGTGGGTGATACTAATTGTCATCCTTGAGTTGGATATCTTACTTTCCAATTTCCCTCCATTTTCTTTATTCATCAACGAACTTTTCTAATCGTATGCATATATAATCGGGATTGGTACACATGTGTCAACAAAAGTTTTCTATCGAAAGAGAAGGCGGTGGTGGTCGGTCGAGGCCATCAGATCCGAGCTTAGCCAACCGATTGCTTCGAGCTGCCTCTATACCTTCGAGTACAGAAAAGTGCTGGCTTTTTATCTTCTCAGTGTTTATCGAAACAAATTTTTGGACGAATGTTCCTTGGAAATGAGTATTCAGAGTTGAATCACCAATTCATTTCATTGTGTGGTGCATACCGAAGCTATCCCTTGCGGGCAAGCCAGACCAAAAATTCATGTCAAGAAGACCGTTCTGTGCAGGACGCTACTGTTCACACCTTTTAGCTTCGGAAACGCCCGAAGCTGTTCAAGAAGCGAGCTTTGATGCTTTGCCTGGCTCGGAATCCCATAAAACCTTTCAAGAATCAGTTCAAAGAGCTAGACCTCTATACAGTATGCTCTCAAGGAGTGGGCGATCCTATCGGCGACGTAAATGCATCACACCGCACACGTCCTGCACGGCACATGGTCACTCGGCTTCAAGCTGGTCACCATTGTGTAGTGGAAATTCTGTTTTTTTTTTCGCTCGCGAACATTTATTGAAACTTTGAGTGCATAGGTGTTTCATCTCCAGAAGACGGCTGGAGAGCCTCCCGTCGAGACTTACGGAAAGAGTGGAATGAGCAGGATGTTCGGGTTCATGTCGATAGGCTCGGGACAATTCCCTAATGAAACAGATCACATCATCTTCATTCGAAAGTTTGCTTGACTGACGTCGCTGTTGTTCCGAAGTTTGACACTGCAGATAGGTTCTGTTTTTCAGTGCGTGTACGAGGAGCTGCGCATTACAGGAAAGAAAGCCTCAATGACTCAACATTGGGGATCATTTGCATCTCTTGCAATTAAAAATTTTGTCGACAACAAGGGCGAGTAACACAACGTCGACGATAGTGCTAGGAAAGTCTACAAGAGCCTACAAGTTGCAAGCGTCTCTTTTCAAGGACTCTCGAACTGATACACCAGCTTCGAATCGCGCGAGCTACAAGCAATAACGACTAATGGCCGACTCGCGGAGCCATGCAGTGAAAAAGATAAAAAAGTTTTCACCGAAACCTTTGGGGTTAGGAACAGCAAAGCCCGCGGAGCTTTGCCAACTAAAGATCGAGATGACTTCCCTTCATCATTGTCGAGGAACAGTCCCTGCATCTCGAAGGTCAGTGGAAATTATCATCTACAACTTCTGATGGGATCTCTTCGACAGACACTTCTAGCTGCCTGCTTACTATTGGGCAAGTTTCGAAAGGCTTCCAGAATTCGGCATCACTTCGACGAAGAGTCGCGCAGCGCCCCGTCCTGATAGAACTAAGCCAGCACGTCGAGTAGGCCTACTAACACTTGCATAACCCTTGCTCAGCTCTTCACGCGATACCTGACGGGAATCAAAGTGACCACGTGGGAAACTAGCAAGGTTGAATGAGGATGGAGATTTAGATGATATTCGCAGGTATGGCCCGTTCTATGCTGTCTGAACCAATAAACTTTCCATAGGTCATCCTTACCAGGAATGGCAGAGTTCTGAGGCTTTGGGCACCCTAGGTGTTTGTACATAAAATACAAAGATGCTTCACGTGTTTTACAACTTCACGATCAAGATTTTGCCGTTCTATAAGGAAGTCATCGTCAGCGTGGAGAGATGTGTTCGGTAGAGCGATACGATTCCCCCCAAACTTTGCAGTGCCCCTCTCGAGAACATTATTCGTTGCTTGGTATGAGAAGAATTGGGAGTGAAGGTCGACGTCAGCTACTTACATCAGCTCCACTTTGCAACGTTCTTATAACATCGATCATCGAGTAATCGGATTCAGTGCTGGCCCAGCTCGGTAACGGCTGTGAAACGGCCGTCTAAAGACTGGACCTAACGAAGGCGGTATTCATGAAATACGGATTGGTACCTCATGATCCATTTGCGCTAAATGGAAACAGTGTCTCTTGGAGCTACTTGTGTATAGGTCGAGAAGGGAACAGGCTTAACGACCTAGCTCCCAAATTGAGCAGAAATAATTGCACATGGTGGAGAGCATTTAGGTAGTAGTGAATGAGACAAAAGAACATCCTGCTTCGCGCTCACATTCGACACTGCGGTCTTTCTTACTTTGACATACACCTCGTAGAATTTGAGACTCTACGAAAGCAGGGTGAGCATGCAGTCAGCGTCATTCAATGCGCTACGGTGTGGACTATGCTCGGAATGTCCCGATGCGGGCAAGTGCGGAGGGAAATCCGGAGTTCGGAGCCCCGTCAACGCGCAAAAAACATGGATGTCGTTTCCAGAAAGTCGATGATCGGGTGGGCCAGAGACGTAATGTGGCAGTGCGATTACCGTTCAACAAGGTTGGTCAATGAATGAATCTCCGAGGACGTCAAACGATCAACATGATGGTCGACAGCGCGATGGCTGGAATTCCTTATGAAAGCTTTGATTAAAGGAGTGGCATACCTCGTGTCCCTTGAACGAGGACCATTCGCTGTTCTACTCTGGCTCGCGACAGGGATGAATGAAGAATGAAGGCGTACCTGATCTCTGCTCGAGAAAATCGATAATCAACGAGGCAACAGGTGACATAGGTGATGCTACATTATGGATGGTCTAACCTCTACAAAGCCTTTGAAACACGTGCACTGTGGGTGTGGTTAACATTGAAGGAAAATTTTGAGCCCTAGTTGCTCCCTGTTTCTGTCCATTTCAAAGCCGGCATTGCCCATGAGCTAATGAGGAGGAAAGGAGGCACAGGACTGTTCCAGTAGTCCTCTGTGAAATCTCAAGAACCGTTTCGATCGTGATGTGTGCGTTTCCCAGAATCATGTTATAAAATGGTGGTAACTATAATGTGAGTTGAAGACTATTGCATGCTCAATGGAAAGTGAAAAGAAATCACAAAAATGATCAGCTGTCTTGTCAAACTGTTTATATGCCTAAGGCTGATGCAAAAATCCTGAGACGTCCGGATTTAGATTTCAGATTCTTTCTATTCCTACTCTCCTTTGTAAATCTGTATGATTATCATTACCTACATTTATCCTGCGGACTGACAAGTCGGCTACTCTGTTCTGAGCGGAGTTTGTGAGTCGAAAACGTTACATCATTTTTGAGATGTTCAAAAGTAGCAGCCTTCTCCTTGGCCAGAAACTTCTTGAAGTGCCTAAAAGTGTGATAGCCGGAAGGGGCGAAGCCAGGGGAATAGGCAGGACAGGCAACGGTATTCCAACGAGTTTTCCAGCCTGGACTGCGTGGTTTTTGCGGGATGAGGCCGGTTGATAGCATTGTGAAGATGGGCTTTTTCTCATTCACTTTTATTAAGTTGGGAGTCTCTGGGGCTGAGTGCTGTAGATGGTAGCTGTGACTGTCTGGCCTTGAGGGAGTGATCCGCGGTAGCGCATTATCTCGAGCTTTGAAAGCAGCACAGCAAAACCTTTCTCGGCTACCGTTCTGGCTTGGGCTGCAGGGGGATCTTTTCTTTTTGTTAGCCGGATGAAACTCTCTTGACCCACTGAATAAAGTCTAAACGCAGTTAAATCTTACTACATACTGCTGTTTGACTTACTTTCCTGCACGTTGATATTTGATTAGGTCATGGACTGCGATGACTGCGATGGAAGCAAACTATGTGTTCACGAATGTGAATGCAGAAAAGAATGTGTCTTAAAAAGGGACCCTTTCATCAGCAAAGCGGTGTAGTTGGATCGGCCCAGGTGTGCTTCATCGTTGCAAATTTGATCAGAAAGACAGACAATAAAAGTGAGCATGGTGTTTTCAATGCCAATGACAATTGTCAGTAGGAGTTAAACTATGTCTTTCACACTCAGAATATTCCCATTTACTGACTCTGATTTTGTTTTTGCCTCATATTGAAGCTATTTATTTGGATTTACCCTGAGAAATGCTCCTGCTCTTCATCAATGATTTGTTGGTGGTGATATTAGAAGTCACTCCATCGACTGTCAACTGAATAAGAAACCTTTTTGAACACTTCGTGCAAAAACAGATGTCGTGTAAATTTTTAAGAGAAAGGCTGAATTGCAGCGATGCCATGGTTGTCGACCGGTTCAGCTGACCATCTCCCCATAGAGATGTGGGTGCCTAAAATTCGGTACTGTGGGTACTATATAATAGAAGCCAGCTACAAATTTTAGCTAATCTCAAGCATCTCTTTCCTAGTCTTTGATACGTCGGAAATCGAACTTTAAAATAATGTCAGCCTGTATAATCACTCCTTGGGAGGTTTAAGTACTTTCTTGGGAAGTTTAACGGTACAGGGCTACTTCGGGAAACAAAGGCCCCTTTTGTACAAGGGCTAGCCATTACGCAAGTCATTCTTTTGTGTGCGGTATACGCAAAGCCCGCTTCAATACTGTCACGAGGTTTTAATTCTAATTTCCGCCCACGGAGAAGTTATTCAAACGGCAGCCGGTGATGGTATTGAGATGCGGTTCAAAGGTTCGCCAACTTCTGCTTATATCCGCTGGTATCCGACTTTTGCTTCATTTTGCTGAAAAGTCGTTCATCATCGATAGCTTCTCGTCGTCCGGTGCAAGGGTCTAAGGAGTGTCGTATCTCCAAACTGAAAGCGAACGAATAAACGACTAACGCTTGCATGGCTGACGAGATTCTCTCCAAATGCACTGTTGTTGGAGACAGCGGAATGGGCAGTAGACTCCAACGCCATTCGTAGAAGATGAATATTTACAGTTGATCTCTCAAGTTGCGTCATGGTCTACAAGAGAGGCTCTCAGGACCTATTCAGTGACGGCTGTTCTAGATTGTGGTAATGGCTCTAGGGCAGCAAAGATTCTAGAAACGACGGTAGTGTGGATTTACGTCTCAAACACTTTTGCATTCACTTTATGTATGGATTATTCGCGCATAAATGCTTCCACCAGAACGAATTTACTGGAGGGAATTCGTTTAGTTTTTTTCACCAAGGTAGTCAAATATGAAGATGTGGCCATTCCTGTTCCAATCATTGGCATATCCTTCCTTCGTTCTTCCCCACCTGCGGTACTCCAATAAGATCCGTAACTTTACTTGCTCTCCTTTTCATTCAAAACATGAAAGACTTCTTCTTTAAAGGTTTATTCACAGTATTTCTTCGGAATGAAAATGTTAGTTGATCCTATAGTTTGAAAACTATATAACTCTTCCATCCAGTGGTAAAGAGAAACCAATAGGTGCGGTATCTTTGCAAAGTATGATGATGAAACAAATCAATGTTCAGCTCAATCTTTGATTCTCCAAGAGCTAGAGCCCGAATCAATTCGTAGGAGTTGTCGGTACTGTCAGCTCTAACACGCATTTGATAAAGGGTCTTAAACCGTCAATGGTGGCAAGTATTAATCGTGTTATCGATATTATTCTGCTCTCGAATGAACCAGCTTCTCTTTCAAAAAATATATTGCTTATTTTATGAAACCTGACATATTCAAGCCATTATCCCACTTTGCTTATTTGCCGTATTGGCTCTGGCAATTATGATGGGTGCGAAATGGCTGTGCGATCGTTAGGCTAAAGCAGTGACTGCCATTTCAAGGCATTTTAGCCAAGGCTGACATTTTTAATACGCCAAAGTTTTAACATCTCTATAGTACAAAGTCTAAACTCTGTGATATGTGAGGTACCTTCAACCTCTATTCCAACTTGTAAAAAAATTTTCTGTGTCGTTAGTAAGTGAGCTAGGGCTACAGTACAATACTTCACCTCTTTTTGATCAGCAAGCCGGATGATTGAAAGTATCGATTAGATTGTGTGAGATTCTATTTCATGGACAAGGTCAGGCATGTCCCGGGAAATGACTTCACTAGCCCTTCATTTCTTTTATTTCTTCTTATTTCATCTTATTCTAATACACTGCTTCCATTTCATTTCATTAGTTGCTCGCATTGGCATTGTGCCCCTTATAATTACAATTGAGATCTCGTCACGATCTCCTTTTCCCTGTTAATCTCAATGAATTCGGAAGCCGAATTTGTTATAAATAGGGGCATTGGAAAAATCGGATGCTGTCACGGCTTAACACCCACGATACACTGATCTACGGGTTGCTTTAGTTTAGTTTATACTCACTTGATTTCACGTGAACGTAGTTTTTGAAGCGACCACTTTTCTTGGGGTAGTATGCTGCTCGGCTTATGTAGGAAGCAATTGTTGAAAAGGCTTTGCAACATTCTCGTGAAATTGGTCCTCTCTTGAACAAACCTACACTTACATACACGGGATACGCCACAAATGTGGTAACAACTTCAGAGAAATCTGTAATTCTCTTGTTTGGAGAGTTTTCCGAATCTACCTTTCCTTTTGTGTTTTTCATATACCTTTTCTCACATAACTGCTTCGGTGCTCTCAATTCGTCTGTTTTCAAAAATGGTGAAGCCTCGCCATCCTTCAGCAGCCGTTCCGTCTTTGCACACATTTGGTGAGCTCGTATAAGTCTCTTGTATCGGGTCAACGACCAACTCAAAACGGCTATCTTATCTCGAATACACTCGAATCAATGGTCTTTTTCGAATACAAATGCTTGACAGTGATTACGATACGAAACCTGCAGAAACACGAGAAAAATGACTGCCGGATTGAATGCATGCTCTACTTCAAGTGTATTTGCTCCGATAATAGCAACTACAGTTGTATCCAGCTTTCTGAAGCTTCATGAGCTCTTTGACAATAACAAATTTGAGAGAAAGCGCAAGCGCAAATGCCTTGCCTTACTTGGACAGGACACACGCTTCGACACAATTTTTTTGACGAAAAGGCGTTTAGCGTGACAAATATTTAGGTCCAGCTTACACCTTTATTTCTCAGTACAAGTGGCGAGGAATTTGAGGTCAGATCGTTTCCCGTACCCATTCTCCTGTTCTATGGTGGTTTGGGCTGGAATCTCTGCCATCAGAGAATATTGCTTGTTTATTTTCCAAGGAAAGTGTACAAAATGATAAGACATCTTTATTAGGGAAATTTCTGAGGTGGTGCTGCTGAGGGTCAAGGACTGAGCAAATGCGCCGTCGTTCTCACATCGTATCCGTGAAAGAATTTCCTGCTTCCTATTGACCCACGAATTTGCTGGCCTGCAATCCAATGGGTCGGTGAGTATGGTGTGCTGGGGAGGGAAACCTCTACTTCAAAACGCGTCACCATTGCTGTTTCTAAGAAATCGTTGAAATAGCCGGGTCTGGGGTTTTTCAAAGAGTTGCGTGCTGCCGTGGATGAGTATCCGAAGAATCTTTGAGCTACTATGTAATTAGTATAGGAGGCGGTTATATCAGATGGCCGTACGTTCATTTTGTTAATGCGACGCTTAGTAAACAGTTCACATAATTCACTTTGTATCAATATGAATTGCGGTTTCTGCGCGGCAATTACAGGGTGCGCTATGAATATGGTAAAAGAACTGGGCTACAGAAACTGCAGTTCATATTGAACCGCAGTTCTTAGGCTACTCATCGATGGTGATACGCAGAGTTTCTTGAGAAACTGCGTGTTACCGTCGATGAGGCTTTTTCACAGGCTTTCTCAGGGATTTCTTGGAAGCAGCGACAGTGGCGCGCTTTGAAGCATAGGCTTTCCTCCTTAGTACGCACTGTACCCAGGGACCCATCACATTGAGGCCCAGGAAATTCGTAGTAAGATTGGAAGCTGGAGTAAGGTTGCGAACATTTCCTCAGCACCGGTCACCATCACTTAATCTTGTCCCATTCGTGGGCAAGTGCGTCGTAGTTTTCGAATCATACTTCCAGAAAAATCTTCGACCCTCAGCTGCATCGTTCCAGAAAAACCCTTCTTAAAGAGGTTCGGATTAGATTTTGTATTTTTTTCGACCAAATTTTGCTTTACCGCTTTAATGGTAGAGAACGTAGCCTAAACCATCATGAAAGAGTGAAAGTGGCTACGAGAGGCGTTTCGCCTCTACTCAGCGGCTTCAGCGTTCGTAGCGTAAAATAAACGTATACTCTGGGATCACAACAATTCTTCCACGCTGGCCACCCTTTAGTCCGAAAAAGGTGTCAAAGCGTGTGCCGCGCGCAATTAGCGCACGGCATTTGTTTTTTTCGATCCAACTTCTTCTCGTCAAGAAGCTTATAAAGCTTCCGAATCCCGTAGGCTCTTCTCATCGGAGTAGAACATACAAACAAATCAGCAATCATTTCTCTCGCGTTTCTGCAGGTTTCGCAGCGTACTCCTTCCCAAGCAATTGTATTCGGAGAAGGGGTCGTATGTGAAATGCGACCGTTTTGAGGTTTGCCGTTGAACTGTTTACCATCGCGATTCAAGAGACTGACATGTAGTAAATAATAGAACGAGGAGCGATCTCGTATAGGGACTCACCAAACGCGCGCAAAGACGGAG